TGCGTATAAGTGTGTGTATAAGTAAGAAGGACATGATTATGGATTAAGGTGGTGGGAAGGAAAAGTTCCAATTCGGCCGTGTCCTTAGGGTATTCTCTGTAAGGGAGGTCAATTCGCCTAGGGCAGCTCCTAGGCGAATGGACCTCACCTTACCACCACGCGGGGAGGTCAATTCCTCTAGAAGCTTGCGCCTGGAGGGGAGGTAGGCTAGGAACTGGATGGAAGATCAATCCCGCCTCGGAGCGGCGCGGGGGGTGTTCAATTTGACGAGGAACTGCACTGGGGGAGAGGTCAATTTGCCTAGGGAGCTGGGTAGGTCAATTCGCCCGAAGCAGCGCGGGCGGGGGGTGCGGAGATCAATAGTCTTGTAACTGGGAGGTCAGTTTGGTCTAGGAAGCTGGCGCTGGCGCCAAACACAAGCTGCACTGAGGGAGGGATGTCAATTTGACTTTAGGAGCTGCGCCGGGGCGAGGAGGTGATTTTTGCCTAAGAGATTACGCAGGGGGAGGTTGCGTCAATATGCCCTAGGAAATGCGCTGAAGGTGGGGTTCAACTTGCCTAGCGAGCTGGGAGGCCAATTCCCTAGGAGCAGCACCGGGGAGGAGGTTCAGTTTGCCAAGGCTGCTGCGTGGGGGGGGGGGGGGGGAGAGCGTCATTCGCCTAGGAGCTGCGCTGGGGCCTAAGAGCTGCACCGAGAGGGAGAGTCTAATCGCCTAGGAGCAGCGCCCAGGGAGAGGTCAATTTGCCTAGAGGCTTGGGGAGGAACCACTTTGCCTAGGAGTTGGGAAGAGACCAATTTGCCTAGGAGCTGGGAGGCCAATTCGCCTAGAAGCTGCGCTGGGGTAGGGAGGTGATTTCGCCTTAGAGCTGAGCGTGGGTAGGAGTTGATATCGCCTAAGAGCTGCCGCTGCGGGCACTCTCCTTGATCCAGCGCGGTGCGCCTCGAGGGAGTCGTACGAGTGGGCGAGCAGCTTCACCCCGCGCCGGCTGAAACTCGTAGGCGCGCTCGCGATGCGGCCCAGCTCCGTGGTGCACACGGGCTGAAAGTCGGCCGGGTGCGAGAACATCACGCACCACCCTGCCAACCACAACCGTCAAACCCTCTTCCCCAAATCACTTTATTGCGTTTATTTATGAATTTTTTTTGTTGCAATTTTTCGAAGATGCGACCAATGCTTCATCGGAGGGGGAAAATGCAAAATTGAGCTGTTTATCAGATACAAATGGTTTAAAAAACTGCCCATATGTCGCCAGAATCTAACAAAAAGTTTCCATATTTGCCGAAAAATGATATAATGCTGTAAAAATACGCGTAAATACATTTAAAATAATCGTTCTTTTTGAATTTATTGACAATGGACGTCATTTAGTGAGAAGATTGACTTTCTGAAATTTTCGAATGTAAAATTATTGA